TTCTAGAGAGACCCATTAACAGCCTGGCCGCAGCATTCTGCACCAGTTGCAGCCTCCGGATTTGCGACAAAGGCAGCCCCATGTAGAGAGCGTTGCAGTGGTCTAATCTCGAGGTGACGGTCGCATGGATCACTGTGGCCAGGTCATCTCGGTCCAGGTAGGGGGCCAACTGCCGAGCCCGCCGCAGATGGAAAAAGGCGGACTTGACAGTGGCTGCCACCTGGGCCTCCATTGTTAGAGCGGAGTCCAGGTGCACTCCCAAACTCCGAACCCCAGACACTGGCACCAGAGGTACCCCGTCGAAGGTTGGGAGAGGGAGCCCCAGCCCTGTCCCGGCCCGACTCAGGCCCAGGACCTCCGTCTTCGCCAGGTTTAGTTTCAATCGGCTCAGCCGGAGCCAAGCTTTAAGTGCTGTAGGACTACAGTTCCCATAATTCATTATATGTTTAAGGATACAGTAAACAATTTGCTATGCTTTACTATTTTGATCTCTGCTGGGGACAGCAGACTCCCCACCTGGAATTCTACAGGTTCCACTATCCACATGCAGTGCCAATGCAGCACTATAACTAGGCATAACTGGCATGCTATACTGCTAACTAAACATCTAAGCAAATTAAACATCTCAGCAAATTAAGGCATGAGCTTCCGTCTTCAAGTTCTTCTTTGGTGCAAAGCAGGACGTCAGTGATCACGTCTGTGATCAGCCTGGTAAAAGTTTTGGTCAGCCAGGTATGGTCCTGTGGGTCATTGATTGTGACAACAAGGACTTCAATCTTATGGACCAGTCTGTCCTCACTAGGCAAGATCTGATCTACAAGTCCTATGGACCATGAGTTTCTGGGGGTGTTTTTTTCTCTCAGCAAGACAACATCCCCTTCCCACAGGTTAGGCTTGACCTTTTCCCACTTGCATCGGCTCTGTAGAGTTGGAAGATACTCTTGCTTCCAAAAGATGTATACAAGGAGTTGAACTTTTCTCCACTGCTGCTTGTACATGTCTTTGGAGACAAAGGTCTCCTGAGGTTCTGACTATTTGCTTATCTGTTGTGTCAGCAAAGTTGACGGTGTCAGGATGGTTGGGTTCTCAGGATCTGAAGACACTGGAACTAGACATCTGGCATTGATGATGGCAGATACTTTTTGCTAGGAGGGTGGAAGCCAAGAGGATGAGAAGGAAGGTGAGCCTTTCATCTTGGGCTTCCTTGTCAGGGTCTTCAGTCGGTTGTTGGGTGATCGCTGCCTAGGCATACGGAGAGGGAGTGGAACCCCCTTCCTTCCAGTATCTTCTTGCCTGTATCCCTTATCTGTCAGCTGCAGGAACTGTTTGTTCCTTATAGATGGAGTGGGTTCGTTGTCATCTTTAGTCATCTGGAAGCCATCTACATCAATGTTCCACGCTGCGCTTCGGGGGGCGGAGTTCCCCCCGGGGCCCGATTCCGCGGTGGTGGAAATTGGGCCTCCGAAGCGGGGGGTTTACCCGCCACCCGCCCCCACTTGGCAGCCCTACAAGGCAAGGTGCTTTAAAAGGGTATAACAGTGTGAAAGGCAAAATAAACATAAACTAACGTAGCTACCTGTTTTTACTTCCAGGCCCACAGCCTGCCTAACACTCACTCTGTTTCCCAGTGAGGGATCCTTTCCTCTCAGACCAGCCTTTTCCCCTTCAGTGACTCCGTGAGAGGGAAAACCGCAGAGAGCCAGCAAGAATCGTTTCCTCACCACACACAGAGTTTCTCACAGTCCCTTCAGTTTAGATCTGCTAGAGGGAAGGCCACCATTTTCCCCAGCTAACAGCTAAGACAGCCTCTCCTCCCAGAATCCTTGACCTCTGATTGGCTATAGCCCGTTGCTAAGCCTTATGGGGACTGTAGGCTGCCTGCTTTCACTGCCATGCAGGCCTCTCCTGGGACCAGGCCACACCAGGCCCTGCTCCCAGTCCTGCACAGATCATGACAGGCAGGCTGCAGATGGGTGAGTGGCAGAGCATTGAACATGTAAACTGGCTGAGGTGCTTTGTACATGGACTGGTTCCAGTCATTTGCCATTGCACTGTCCAGCTCCAATCGGGCACCTCTGGTGCTAGGAGTGCCGGGCCAGGAGGTGTATGTGTGAACACAGGAGCCGTAGGCACACAGGGTGCTGTTGTAGGTACAGGAGCCATGTTAATAAAGACAAGAGTGTCTATGTGTGAACACAGGAGCCATAGGCACACAGGGTGCTGTTGTAGGTACAGGAGCCATGTTAATAAAGACAAGAGTGTCGTAGATGCTAGGGATGTTGTTGCAGGAGCCACAGTTGTTGGGTGATGCCTGGGGTTAGGAACTAGAGCACCTTGACCTGAGAGGGACACCTGCGTGGCTCTCGCTGCTCCACAGCACACTACCAGACTGTTTAGCAGAGGGCGGCTGAGCACTCTCCCAAGTGTACTACTGCCCCTGGAGGTAGGCTAAGGAGGGAAGGGTGTATGTCTGTGGGAGACCCCATCTCAGTTTCCATGCTTTCATTGTCTCTTGGAAGATTTACAAGTTTAAGGGAATCTCCTTCACTTCGTATGATGGGTGAGAGGGTTGTCCCTGGTCCAAAGGAGTTTCCTTTCCTCTTATGTAGAATTTTGCCTTGCAGAATTAGGCAGATAAAGGCTGGGGAACACCAGTTGCCATCCACTAGCTTCAGAGAAGCAGTGGAGGATGTAACTCACTGGGTGAAACTGAATTTGGGCAAGGTGGTTTGCCACCAGCACCTCTCCCCTTTGCCCCATAATGTGCTAAATATGAAGAGCAACTGGGGAAGTAAATTTGTAGGTTGGCAGGGAAATGATTGAACAGATTTTATAGACAACTTCTCACTGCCAGATGGCACAACACACAGCTAGAAAGAGGCAAAGGGTACCAGGTGACAAACAGCATTTCAGAATCCATGTGTGCTACCAAATGGCTGGTTCCAATATGACGTATATAGGTTTTGGACACTGGCTGGTGTGGATTAAGAATCAAGTAAGTTTACCTCCCAAATCACCGACACTTATTGTTTGAGAACTTCTACCTTGCCTTTCAGAGTACTAGAACATGAGAAGACTCTTGAAAATTGGAAAGTGATTCCGGAGTGTCAGAATGTAATCTCCGCAGACTGTGATCTCTCATTATTGAAACTAGATTATTTATCTGACTATAATGTGCGTGTAAGAGTGGAAGCAGGTGAAGAGAGTTCTCCATGGGCCTCTTTGATATTTTGTCCTCATTTAACAGGTATGACTGTCTTCCTTGTGTGTCTGCTTCTGCAATACTGAGGCCTAGTTACAAACATTTAGTAGCTTAATTATTATTATTATTAATTATATGGCTTCTAATTACCAAAGCTTTAGTTTGGGTTTTACTTTGGTACCACTGGCAGGTTAGTCCTCTACTTTTGTAGAACTGTGGTGAGAGAACCTGTGCTGGGAGATGCTGAGGATTGAAATGGGGACTGTCTACATGGTAAGCAGATGCTCTGACTCTAAGCCATGGTCTGTTGGTGATAGTGGGAAGAAGAACAAAAGTGGAGGATGGGAAGGAGAAGAATACTAGAAAAGGTGTGACAGAGGGCCTCCAGTGGTAGAATTCTAATTGCTAATAAATATGATAATTAACTGTTGAGAAGCTCCACCCCACCACTGCCTTTGTTTTTGGTATGTTGTCTTTCCTTTTCACCTTCACAGACTGCCTCATACCATACCAGGGGTCCTTATACCATGCCAGGGACCCTCAGACTGCCAAACATCCTGGAGGTTTTTTGTCATCTTCTAGGGATGGAACAGGGATCACTGAGGGGGTTTGTGGGGAGGAGGTATTTGTGAATTTCCTGCATTGTGCAGGGGGTTAGACTAGATGACCATTCATACTCCATTATCCTATGAGGGGAGAGTGGCAATGGCAGTGAAGGATACAATTCCCTCATGATCCCCTATCATGCTGTGAGGCAGCCTGGGGTAGAGAAGTATCCCTCCTGCTGTCTGTCTTTTCCTCCCTATCAGCCCCTTCATCCAGCCCAACTAAGCGTGGTACAGTGGAGTCTGCCCTGCTCATGGCAGGGGTGGGGGAGTGGAGAAGACAGCCTGCTTAATGAAGGCAACATTAGGATAGCCCTTTGCCCTCTTGGTGGCAATGGGTCTAGTGTTACCAGCTGTACTGGTACATATACAGATAGCTGTACACACAAATGTAATTTCTGGTTAGGCAGATGCCGTTAGTGGGCAATGTAGACTTCAAATGCGGAATTACAGTCTGCTTTTGTGGTCCCACTGCTGAGTCTCTGAGTCAGGGCCCTGGGATTCCATCCCAATGTCTAGCACTGATAGCTCTTGTGTGCCTTATGTCAGAAGGTCTGGTAGTCCTACTAATACAGGGTTGCCACTTTCTGGAAAGTCAGGGAAATGAAAATTGATCAGGGAAAGTCAGGGAAATTGGTCTGAAGTCAGGGAAAGTCAGGGAAATTGTGATTAAAATATATTCAAGCAGTGGATTTTTTTACCTGTTGCTGTTCTTGTGGCAACTGGAATAGAGAAGTAGCAGAATACAAGCAGAACTTAATGATGCCCTTTCCCAACCATTTTAGATAGAACAGTATATAATTTTTAGTGTACCTTTAAAACAATAACAGAAATGTTATGTCATTTGTTAGCATTCAGAGTTTACTTGAATTGAAATTTGTATCTTGGTATAATTTTTGGTGCAATTGCAAAATAGATGTTGCTGCAGTTAATGTTGAAAGAAGCTGATATTAAATCTCTTTGACAAATATTTTTGCAGTTGAGACTTGTGTAGTTGTAGAGTGGAACCTTACCTTGCATTAATGCAATACGATCAGTGTCCCCTCTAAACTGAGTTAGTGTGAGATAGCTCACAGTTTTTTAGCCTCCGGCTCACACATTCTTAGCCCAGGAAGGAGGGCTCCAGAGCAAACTAATTTACGCAGTAGCCAAATCGCTCACTCACAATTTTCATGCCAGTAGCTCACGAAGTAGAATTTTTGCTCACAAGACTCCACAGCTTAGAGGGAGCATTGACCTATTCATTTTTTAACTTGTGGTTATATTGGAATGGTGGTCAGGGAAATTGACAAACGTTGGTCAGGGAAAGTCAGGGAAATGAAAAATAAAATTTTAGTGGCAACCCTGTAATACCAGATTACGTGTTGACTGTATTATTTTACTAATACCAGATTCTTATATCTGTAGATAGCCAAATGCCAGTGATACTATTTTGTTGTTTGCTTTCGAAGTCTACTTCTTCATGTTGCAATCTATCATTAATATGAACATTTGTGCTTAGGTTTGTCATCTTTGTCATCAGCCCAGATTGGTCCTCCGGGAGTGCTGTTGGAATCAGTAGATGGAAATGTAAACATCAAAATTATACCTCCAGAAGCAGACCAGCCGAAACAAATGTGGAAGTATGACCCTTTAACCTACAAGATGGCAATCTGGAAGAACTCATCAAAATCTGAGGTACTACATTGTTCTCCGTGAACTTCTTAACATGCTGTAGTGTTCATTTGACATAAATGCTATAATGTATGGCTTTCTATTATGTTACATGCTTCATGTTGTTAGTGTTTGCTTCTTTGATGAGAATGCTAAATCTCTAAACACTGCAGTCCTGTACCAGCTTCATGGGGTTTACTTTTGAACATGCATTCATAGAACAGGGATGCTTAAAATGTGTATTGTTTTTGTTTAATGTTGAGCAGGGTGCTTGAATAGATTTTTCACATTCATGCAGTAGGCTAGTTCCACGCTGTCCAAGCTATCTGTGTTGTTCTTGCTCCTGGCATAGGGTTGAGAAGAGAAAAGAAGTCTCTCAGTCAAATGCTAATTTCTGGTTACTACACAAAAGAGGGAGATTTGAAATTGGGCTCAAAGCTTTTTAGCAGCTTTGTTGGATTACTTGCAATAAACCCAGATGCCAACTTTG